TAATGAATGCAAATAAATTGGGAAAAATAAATAAATAAAAAAAGAAAAATGTCTTTATATGTATATACACATATACATATATAAATTAACAATATATATATATAAATTTAAAAAAAATAATAAAAAAATAAAAAAATAAAAAGATAAAGTTTCAGGAGGAAAAAAAACACACGAAAACTATTTTTCTTGAAATTAAAAAAATATGCATATTTGATGACTGCAGTAAGCTATATAGCCCCAGCTAGGTGCTACTTTATAGTATGTTCATTCTACTCACTGAGGTTTATGCCTAAAGTCAGACTTGTGTTCATGGATATGTATATATCAGCTGCGCTTGCTATTAGAAGTATTTAGATTAAGTTCATTAGCGAATGAATAAAATGGGGGGAAAGGCGTAGAAAGCAACCATGGATACCAGAGACAGTGTGGGAGGAGGGTGGGACACGGCAGAGAGTGAGAGATAGGGAATCAAGGATGGCAAACATAACAAAATCTACAGGAAACAAACGGAAAATTATTTGTTGACGATAACACATATGTCGATGTGCTTAATTGAGCCAATTTACAGTGTATCCTGGATGGGAAATCTCTCTTTTTTTTTTTTTTTTTTGAGACAGTTTTTTTTTTTTTATTGGGCACGTGAGCTCGCCAGAGAGACAGAGAGATAGAAAGCGAGAAATTACCCCCCAAGGGGCATGGCCATGCTGCAATCCCTTCTCCTCCATTCTCCTCTCGGGATCCTGGGCACGAACGCAAATGTGCCTGGCGTGAGTTTAAGCCACTGAGTCCGGGACTCAAACCGTGATCAACTACATGTGAGTCCAGCGACATAGCCATTACACTAACTGCTGGTCCCCTCAGGAAATCTCATTTTGTTTGCTGTAATGATGTATAGTGAATGAGTGTAAATAAATTTTAAAAAAAGGAAAATAAAAAATGGTACCCGGCATGCACCAGCCAAGAATAGGGGCCCTCTACACTGGAACTCAGAGGGGAGCAGAGACAGGTGTGTCTTCCTGTTACCTGTCTCCCACTTTGGGCTGCTGTTTCCGAGTGGCAGCTGTTGAACCCCACTGTGACAACACCCTTGTGAAGGCTTCTTGGGTTTATCTCTCTGGCCAAAGCACCTTAGTGTCACAGGGGGAAAAAATGACCAGTAAGACAACAGTAGCTGGCTCACAGATACAGGAACACTTCCAAAGAGAGCGCCAATGTGGAGCTATTCGTTGGCCCAGTAAACACTAAAATATGTCATTTATTCTACTTCTTTTTGTAGGTTTTTGCCATGGGGTACATGTGCTCACTGGGGAGAGAGAGAGCAAGAAATCATCCCCCAGGGGGAATGGCCATACCGCAATCCCTTCTCCATTCTCCTCTCAGGATTTTGGACATGCATGCACACGCACCCAGCATGATTTTCAAGCTGCTGCATCTGGGACTTGAACCGTGGTCAACCATGCAGGCGGTCAAGTGCCTTAAGTACCATGCCACCTGCTAGTCCCCATTCACTCTTGGCCTAACTCACACACAAAAAAACTTGGGGCTAGCAGATGGCATTGTAGCTAAGGAACCTGACTCCCACATGACTGAGAGCAGTTTGAGTTCCAGCCCTGGTGGCTTGCTTTCTCACTTTCTTTCTGTCTTTCTCTCTCTGGTGAGCACATGTGTCCTATTGCAAATTAAAATAACAATAAAATTAAATAATTTCTAAAAATAAAATTAAAAACTTATCTCTGAGGACCAGCAGTTGGCGTAATGGCTATGTTGCTAGAGTCCCATGTAGTTGACTGTGGTTTGAGTCCCAGACCCAGTGACTTAAACCAGGTACATGTGCATGCATGCCCAAGATTCCAAGAGAAGAATGGAGGAGAAGGGATTGTGACATGGCTATCCCCCCAGGGGGATGATTTCTGGCTTTTTGTCTCTCTGTCTCTGTCTTTCTGGCAAGTGCACATGCCCTATAGCAAAAACCTCTCAAAGAAAACAAACAAACAAATAAACAAAAACTTAACACTGCCACGGGCAAATCAACTAGAGAAAAAACAAAAAGGCCTAGCCAGGAATGAGTTCTCACCCACTCTAAGAAACTAAGTAAGCACTGAGGCCTGTCCACAAGCATGAGCCTAAAGTTAGCACTGGCAGACTGCAAAGCTGAACACAGAAGCCGAGGTGCATAGGTGGGAGCAGTCCACTTAGGAACGAGGTTAAGAAGGAAGCGACCAAGCCCTGGAGGGTACACACACTGTCCTCCTCAACAACCACTGTACACCTGACTGGCACTCTCCTTCGGTTACTCAAACTCTGTAGCCCCATTATTCCGCTCTACAGCTGCGGAGCGCCAAGCCCCAAGCCTCCCTGACCACTGAGCAGATGTACAGCAGGAGCAGGACCTGAGCCCAGGTTTCAGGACCTGAGCCCAGGTTTCAGGACCCACATTCTGTTCCTCCCACTGTCTCACAGCCAAGCACTCCCCCAAGGGCCTTTGTAGCTGGGCTCCGGCTTCCACAGCCTGCAATAGCGATTTAGGCTATTAATCCCAGTTCAGGTGGGAACTCTGAATAAGGAATGGCTCGTTTGAAAAGAAAAAAAAAAATTAAAACATAGGGCCTGATTAGTAATAGCCCAGTGCTGAGGACATCTCAGCCATCCTCAGTAGTGGTCTCAGTGAATTCATTTGTTAATGTGTTGATTTTCCAAGGCTAAAAACAGCCTCTGGTCCACCTCACTCACAATCTCTTTTCCTCCATTCTCCTCCTGGGATTTTGGGCACACATGCACATGTGCCTGGCTTCTTTCAACTGCCAAGTCTGAAACACAAACTGCAGAGTTGGCCATGGTGGATCCAGCCCCTAACCATCCAGCACCCTATACAGTTTAATTACTTCTTCCATGAGAAAGAGAGAGACAGTCACCCCAACAGGGTCTTGATGCCATGATTCACCTCCAGCCTCAGTCGGATCACGAACACAAGCGTGCCTTGAGTGCTGAGATGTCTCCAGAAGCAAACCTGGAACCTTCCTGTGGGTCAGCCTCGCAGTGTTGCACTTCACCACTCACCACCATCTGCACCCTCCCTTACAGCCCTTCTGCTGAGAGCTATAGGCTGTCCCCAATTTTTATCAATTTATCACCTGATTTTTCTCACATGAAAATTAACATTTATAAGGTCAGTTGGGCCAGCAGGTGGTGTGGTAGTCAGGGCAGCTGAATCCCACATGGCTGAACACATGGCTTCAGTTCCAGACCCAGTGGCTTACAAGACACTAGGCGCACATATGTGCGTGCGTACACACCCAAATCCCAGAAGTACGGAGAAATGGAGGAGGGATCGTGGCATGGCCCTATCCCATGGGGTGCTTTCTCAGCCCTCCCCGTCTCATGTACGTACATGTGCCCTCTGGCAAAGTGTAATGCTCTGTTCAGTTTTATCACAGCCATCCCACCTCTTCTTTTTCTTTAAAGAATTATTTTTATTTAACTTTACTTATTTATTTAAATTTGACCAGAGAGGGACCCAGAGAGAGGTAGAAAGTGAGAAAGCAGGCCACCAGGTCCGGTACTCGAACCACAGTCAGCCATGTGGAAGTCCAGCCCCCTTAACCACCACGCCACTTGCTAGCCCCTATTCCATCTCTTCTTATGGAGGCCTTTACCTCACTAGGCCAGGCTAGGTCTATCCCCCAACTTTCCCCTCTTCTAGGGCCTTCACAACTGAGAATCAGGTGAGCATTTGGGAACCACCTGTTCAAGCCAGTCTCCCCTCTGGCCTGCAGACTCCATGTCAACAGGTGATCCCGCGTTGCCCAAGCCAGTCCAAGCTCCTTCCTGTCCTCTGGGTCGTGCACAGCAGGTGCTGAGCAAAAGGGGACAAACAGCTGGGCTCACCTAACCTGCTCCAGGGTGGCACACCTCTTCACCAACAGCGACAATCCCTATCAGAAGTTGCTGCCCACACTTGTAGAGTAACTCAAATCCCCTGAACTCCTCCTGTTCTACCATGCCCCTAACCTCACACACACAAATACGTGAGCAAGCCAACTTCCTATATTTACACACCACAGCAGTTTGTGGGGAAAACAAGTCTGGCTGGAACGTTACCCTGGGCTAAGAACCTTCGGCTCATTCTGTTCAACGGCACAGTCCACGTTCATTGGTGGGGAGGGCAGGCAGCAGCAGTAACTGCAGTACCAGTAAGTTGATTTGGCTTCTTCTCTGGAGGGGCACTGTGTTGGCAAAGTTGAGAAAAATGGAGGCTAATTTATTACTCGAGATTTCAAGTTTCCTTTTATTTATGGCCAATAACCAGATTCATTCATTGTAGTAAAGCTCTTAGCTTAAGAAAAAAGATTTGAAGAAGACCTTGTAAAAGTAAAGGACAGAAAATCAAATTATAAATGGCATTAGCTTTATGGACACTTGGACCTGCACCGACTAAGTACACATGGGACTGTCACCATAATTTAAGCTGCTACTATATACACTGACAGAGGCAGGGATGTATCTCTGTAATTTCCCACATTTCAAAGACTCCACACCAAGAATACCTCTTATTAGGATAGTTAAGGAGGCACACACAAGGCTACAATTTTTCAAGTAACTTGCACATCTCCAAAGTAAGGGTAACTAATTAAAATGCATACACACGAATTTTCATCCTAATTTTTCTAAACATTTCACTGGAAACCAGACATGGACCTCAATGGACTGTATCCGACACCCAAGCTTAGAGACTTTGCAGTCTAACTGCAGGCAGGAGAGCCTAGCTCTCACTCTGGACCTATCACTGCCTTTACCCCCTTGCCACGGGACCGTGGGCACATTTCTCCCAGCAATTCTAGAAAGTTCTACCGCTATGCCTGCGATATTCTCCTTTTGTCTACAATTATTGACATTTTCCCAGTAGACTTTGTTTTGTTGGAAACTGGAACTTATGAAACACTTAAATGACTGAGAAATGGTCTAGTGACCTCATTTTGTTGCATGAATCAAAAAGCAATCACTCTGGGATCAGTGGCCTAGCGGTTTTGTTGCTGGACTCCGACATGGCTGACCGTGGTTTGAGTCCAGGACCGGTGGCTTGAAAATCATACCGTGTGTGTGTGTGTGTGTGTGTGCATGTATACATGCCCAAGATCCCAGGAGGAGGATGGAGAAGGGGATTACGGTGTGGGCATCCCCCCAGGGTGATTTCTCAAGTTCCCTCTCACTATGCCTGTCTGTCTCTCTCTCCAACCCTAAGGCAAAAACCTCTTGAAAAAAAAGAAAAGCAATTACTCAGCCAAGGTCACATCAAAGCCTCTGCTCAGGTGGGAAGATAACAGAAGCAAATACTGGTATAAGAAAGTATTAGTTCAACTAAGACACAATGTAACAATAATCATTTATTTCCAGAGCAGGACACACCAAAAGATCAGAGAACCCTCATTGGCTTAATGCACTCTCCCAACAGATGAAAATAAAGGTGGTGAAATTATCCCCACCTTTATAGAGTCCCTTGGTTGTGATGAGGCGATTTACCTGTGCTTTTACGTGGACTTTTATTTTTCACCGCTGAGTACAAGCAGGCTAGAGTCAACGCAACACAGAGACTTTATGAGTGTGGCTGAGATCGACTATACAGCTAAAGGGTGGGGCACAAGGTCGTCCCCCCACCTCAGGAAACGTGAGGCCTGCCTGACAGGTTGGCTGTTCCCTGTACATCTCAAAACCCTTCCTGGAGCAGGTGGCAGAATTCCAGCGTTCAGGAGCACCTGAGTGCCTTCTTGCCACCACACTGACAGTGGGAAACTCTTCTTGACTTTCTCCACTGATGGTGAACATCTACAGATGTATGATTCAGAAGCTGGGTCTCTGATGGAGCACTTCCCCTATTTCTCTCCACTTCTATGGGAAGGATCAACTACTTTCAAAGATATTTTCTCATCAATTACTGGAGAGTGGAAAAAGAACGAAGACACGTAAAATTTCTCCCACAACTGGTTTTCATTTATGAAGTATTTATGCATAGTTTATAAGCTATGAAGACAGAAATGACTTAATGCTGCAGACTTGACTTTGCCAAACTGTGTGGGTGCAGAAACTCCAAGGGGAATTACTCAGGTTTTAAAACTCGGGTTCAAAAATGATCTAATTTCTCACTCCTCATGCTAATGTTCCAAAAATGAAGTGTAATGCCATTTAGAAATAAGTAGAAACTAAGATTTATAAAGTCACCTCGATTAGAATGCATAGCTTTTCCCTAATGTGTTCCCAGTTATCAAGATATTCCTTTAACAGGTTGGACCTGAAATTGACATATTACCATTCGGAATAATAATGGGCCTCAACTGCACGGACATTAAGCCAAAAGGGAAGAGTAAATGTTGAAAATACTCAACAAATTCACACCGGCGTTAAACTGGCCAAATGAGCACAACAAAGATACACCGGCCCAAGTTCTCAAGATTTTCCTAGAAATCAAGAAACCTTTATTTATATTGTTTTAAATCAACTGTCAGATCAACCAGAAGGATAGATTAAAAACAAAAGCACTACGAAGCATTTATATCTTATTCAGTAAAGTTTAACTTGCCACTAGTTCATGCCAGGAAAAATCTAGGCTCTGTTGCAGGTATAATGGACGACGGGAAAAAAAGGCAGAATTTTCAGTGATGACACAAGTACAAAGCATGGTGGGCGTACAAAGGAGCGTCCGTGGAAGTGAGAAATGGGTGAATACGCTGGGCAAGGGAAGCAATGATTGACTAGACCACAAAGAAAGGAAAACGCATAAGGAAATTGTGGAAAGCAATAAATAGCAGGACCGCAAAAACGGAGCCGCCGGGCCCAGAGGTTCTGAGATCCACGGAGATGCAGGCACCCAACGGCTGCGTCTCAGGTTTCCGCGGGTCGCAAAATAATAACGGACATCCTCCCAACGGTGGACCCCGGGCTCCGCGCGGCGCTTCCGCAGAGCCCGCAGCGCCCTACCCCGCGAGCCGCCCACCTGCGCTCGCCCGGAGACGCGGGGACCAGAGAGCCCGCGGCGAGATGCGGGACGCG